TGTTGCGTGACATGCTGAATAAATTTGTTTTTGTGTACCTGGACGACATCTTGATATTTTCAAAGACTCTGGCTGAACACATTCGTCATGTCCAGCTGGTCCTCCGTCGCCTGCTGGAGAACTCGCTCTTTGTCAAAGCAGAGAAATGCGAGTTCCATGCTCGGACTGTGTCATTCCTGGGATACGTGGTGGGAGAAGGAAATATCCAGATGGACCCCGCAAAGGTTTCCGCGGTCACTTCCTGGCCAGTTCCAGAAAACAGGAAGAAGTTGCAGCAGTTCCTTGGCTTCGCCAATTTCTACAGGAGATTCATCAGGAACTACAGCACAGTCGCCACTCCCCTCACCGCTTTGACCAGTATCAAACACCCTTTTGTCTGGACCCCAGAGGCTAACAAAGCTTTTCAAATCCTCAAAACCCGCTTCACCACTGCTCCCATCCTTCAGACGCCGGATACAGACCGGCAGTTTGTCCTAGAGGTGGATGCCTCGGATGTGGGGGTTGGAGCCATACTCTCCCAACGAGCAGTGGAGGACAACAAGTTGCGCCCTTGCGCATTCTTTTCGCGCCGGCTTTCACCCGCAGAGCGCAATTATGATGTCGGGAATCGAGAGCTGCTGGCTGTCAAGCTTGCCCTGGAGGAGTGGCGTCACTGGCTGGAGGGGTCCACAGTTCCATTCTTGGTCTGGACTGATCACAAAAATCTTGAATACATCCGCAGTGCCAAGCTCCTTAACCCCAGACAATCCCGCTGGGCCCTGTTTTTCACCAGATTCAACTTCACCTTGTCATACCGTCCTGGTTCACGTAACACCAAGCCAGATGCTCTCTCCCGCCAGTTCCAGAAGGGTGACGCCCCATCCCAGGAACCTGCGTCCATTCTGCCCTGTCCCTGCATCGTAGCTGCCCTGACCTGGGATGTTGAGAAAGAGGTCCAAGAGGCCCTCCGTGATCAACCAGGCCCCAGCGCATGCCCTGATGGCCGTCTCTTCGTCCACACATCCGGACCAACCTGCCGCCCAAAGAGGTCGTCCAAAGGGGTCCTGTCACGCCTCAAGATCAGCCCCTGACCCTGTGTCTGACTCGGATTCTGATCTAGACCTTGCCCCCGATGGAGTCTCACAGGTCCCTTTGGAGGATGGGGCCATGGAGTCGGATCGTTCAGAGGAGTATTGAACCTCCACTGGCTCCCTCTCCGCCCACCCAATGTGATGTCGTTTTGGGGACTTCTGGGGCCGTCCCTTAGAGGGGGGGTCCTGTCATGAGCCCTCTGCTTGGGCTGATTGCCTGCACCTGTCTCTGCTCTGCTCCCTTCAACCTGCCAGCTGCTCTGCATTTCCTGATTACCACCTCTGTATATAAGGCCCAGTTTCTCACTCCACTCTTGTCAGATCGTCTGCAAGCCTGCATAACTAACCTGTCTGCTTATCTTTGACTCTGACTCCCACCCGTGATCCAGAACCAAGATTCCTGCTTCCTGCCTCCAGAACCAAGATTCCTGCTTCCTGCCTCCAGAACCTCAATAAACGTTTGAACTGAACTGTGCTATTGGGTCCTCCTCTGTCCGCACTGACAACAAACTGGAAATTATATACTTCATCAAATAATTTAATTTGATTGATTAAATTTTGTCTCTCCCCAGATTAATGTTGGGCTTATGAGGATGCAGGGAGATTCCCTTAAGACAGTGAGAGTGAAGTTACTTCCAGTTGAGATTCACCCTGAGTGGGCATCGGAACAAGTGCTTGCTGCTGCTGTAAAGAAGCAAAAGGATTTCAATATAGACCTGAGAGATTGTGCCCATGTCTTGTTGTATCCTGATGCAAGGGAGGTTAAGAACATCCCAGGAACAGACATTCCTTTCACAGTGCAAAAGTACAACACTGCAAAAATTAATAGTCTTAATATAGAAATAAATACTTGGTTTGAGCAGATATAGACTAAAATTAAGGGAAATATTCTGCCAGTGCAGTGAGATAATCACACTTGGTAAGATTTCTTGAAATAAGAAAAAATAAATACATATTAGGCAAGTGAGAAATATCTGAAAATAAGTGATGAAACACTCATTCCAAGTACTGTATGCAAGTGAAATAATCTCAAAACTAGCTTTTCAAATCTTATTTCAATTTTTGTTTCTTACTCAAATTGAGTGAAAAAAACATAAACCCAGAGAAAGTGTAAAACACTGCGCAAGCAAAGTCCAGGATTCACATTCTGTGTTGCTTACTCAGCGGTCAGGTTTTTCTTGAGGATAGGAATTGGTGATCCTGATGCTGAGAGAGGCATCAGAGACACCAGCCATCCAGAATAAAGAGGAGATCAGAGTGGAAGAGCCATCAGCTGTTTCTCAGCATCTGCTGGACTGACCCGATAGAAAGTGGCGAGCCAGAACCAAAAGATAAAGGACTGAACTAACCTCCCAAGCCTGTGTGGTAGGATCGGTGAGATTAAAGGGCCCCAACGATATCAGGAAAAGGACAAACTGAGCTCATTATTTTTCCTTTGTTTCCTATGCGCGCACTTTATTATTTTTCATTATATTGTCTCATATTGTTAATATTGTTTAGGTTCATTGTTAATAATACATTTATTGAAATTAAGTCGTGTGTGAGTGTGGTTAATTTTGATGTTCCGCCCTGGGTTTCATGAGCGTTACCTAATCTTTTGAAAATTGGTCCAAAATCTAGGAATCTGAAACCCAAATTTATACTAAATTCTTAATAGAAGCAAAAAGGGGTTACACTAGGCAGTTGTAGGGTTTTCCTTGGGGTTTTCTTCACCACAGGAGTGGATGT